CGTCAGCTTAAGGCAAATGTGAGTGCGAAGATACAATCGAGATGTGCGATAAATACCAAATCCTTGTGAATAATATCAAGGTCATGTAAATGTTTTAGTCCATTGGTAACTTCTAAGCCCAGCTTGTATTTGTCTTTCCAAGTCAAGCCATTAAAGTGTCTCCGTAGGTATTCACGCAAAGTTCCACCGTCAGCTAGTTCAAATATCATATAATAATTCTCATTTTTGTCTGTATGTGTTGAAAATAAATAGCATTAAGAAGCTATTCCTTGTAGTAATAAATAAACAAATGCCCTTTTTTTAACATACCTATGTATAGACCCAAAAAACGGATAATGTTAGGGTGGTTGTTCGCTTCCTTGTGGTGTTTTAGCTAATGTATGGCGTTCATTCAAACTTAGTCTATATGCAAAATAAATGCAGCAAGCATGACGGATGATAATAGGTTACCTCTTTGATAAATTGTTGATGCAAATCTTCTTCACAATCTCCATTACTGTCCGAAAACAAAGTCTTCACCGCAACAGTAGTATCAGAGAAAATTTTAGACTTCTTGCCCAAGATGGTCTTGACGATGGTTCCAATGCCGGTTTTCCGCTTTATCGTTGCCTTGTATACCACTCCAAATGCACCATGGCCAATAGGTAAAGGGTCTAGTTTTATGCCATTTTCTGGACAGCAATAGATTGAACCTTCTTGAATGCTTGTCTCTAGCCATTTATAAGATGGTTGAGACATTCTTGATAGTAGATGTAAGGGCAGGAAAGTAGACGCCGACAAATGTGCCACATTTCTTGCTGGATGCAGTGTAACTAATTGACAACCTTTTGTAACAAATACTGTACGATGCACCGAAGAAAAGTTACCACCATTAAAGACTGTTTTGACTTCGAGTTCGTATGTAAATCCCTCTCCCGAACTCCAAATTAACGACAATCCCTAAAAATTTTGCCATTCATTGCTGCAATTATTATCATCGTAAAGTAAATTTACTTATTACACCTTTTTATGTTACGCTCAATAGTTAATAGTTTCCCGAAACGAAAACCTTGCGTTGGCTCACTGGTTAAATCGCTTGGGAGGACAATAAATAGATCAACAATTGTTGATGACAAAATTGTCAGGCAAACATATTGTCCTCCTGATTTAGCCAGTGAGCCAACGCAAGGTTTTCGTTTCGGGAAATCACGCTCCTGCAACAAAACCTCCTACTGGGTACAGTCAACTGCCGAGCTTGCGTTCAGGGGTCATCGGTCGAATTAACGAATATCCAATCAGGCGTCTATAAATAAGGTTTATTTATGTCCCGTCACTATGTAAATCGTGGCACCGCATTTATATATAAATACCGTACAGAGTCCCAAACCGCATATCAAAATATACTTTCTCTATTTTCAATAGACGTAACGTCTTCTTTAACGTCAAATCTGTGGGTTTGAACTAAGACAATGCTCGGACTTTTATTATTAGAATCTGCTCATTTCATCAGAAGTGTCATTCAAATCTCTAGATCAATGAACATTGTATGTATCGCCGTCAAAAGAAGAATCGTATGACACATCTGATCGACTAATGCTTATTATCGCTTACAAAAAAATCTGCATAAGCTAGGCCAAACAAAGTTGTCGAAGAAAGATTTATAATAGTATGATTAAACTATACTATTCAAAAAAGTAATTGTAATATTCGATGTATAATATTACTATCCATAAATATCGTAGGTATGCCTGATCATAATCATTCGACAAATTGTTCATAAGTATGTTTGTAATATAAATTATTTGACACAGAATAGTCGTTAACTTGTATGACTAGCTCAAAATTTATAAAACTGTTGTACTAAAACGCTTTAAGAATTATGACAAAACGCCGGAATTATTGATTTCCGAGGTAAGTAATCTTTGATATTATTCATTAACGCGATATTTAATTTGACTTTACATGTACTTATTTTAACAGTTCAGAAACCATGCCAAGTTGCATGCCAAGTGTTAAATTATTGTTTTTTCCTTCAAATTTACGGAGTCGCACAAGACCCAGAAACAAAAGAGTACATGATTGTTATGCAATATGTATTCTTTTGTCTTATTTCGCCATTGAATGGATCCCAAGAATATGCAGTTAATTTAGTTCTAACTTTTAAAGAGTCAGTTCTCAGAGCCCATTATCAATCTTGAAAATAATAGGAATATTGTATCGGCATGGTCCATTTTAATCATCGATTTGCCTATCATATTTACTCGATTCTTATGATATTTTTCTTTCTACTCTCTATCTGTTTATTTCCCTTAAAATCAAAAATAAACTTTATCAAATCTTAAAGAACGTTCTGATGAATATCTCTCATAAATCTTATTGATTTTCCCGGATACGTTGATTTTTCCAGCGAGGTGTTTACAGCTTCAAGGCTGTGTGATGGTGCCCTGATACTAGTTGATATGGTTGAGGGCGTTTGTACGCAGGTGTGGTTATCATAGCACTTCTCAATAATGTTCTACTGAAATGTGTTTCAATGACTCGTATGATAATACAGGTTGAATTAATAAAATTTCGAAAAGTTCTATTTGCAAAATAAAGTTGGTGTCACGATATAGTGACGTGATTATGGTAGTAATTTTGTGATTTTGATTTATTGTCGACTTTAAACCATAATGATAAGTAGCAATCTTCACAGATTACAGAGATGAATGCCAATTGAGCATATTTACTTGTAGAAAAGCAGATTCACAAATTTGTTGTATTAATATGTTGGTTCGTAGTGATCAGTAAATCCAGGTCGCTTACAAATGTTTTTACTTTTTGGGCTCACGGATCGATCCATATCAATGCTGCAATGGGACAATGATATAACTCACGTAAAAAACCATATCAATATAGTCAACTCAGACAAGAACACATTCTTCCTGATAAACCATGATATTTAACTAAAAGACTATGTTAGCAGAAGCGTATATAATAATAATACTATGTATAAAATTAAGTTCTGTAGTGCATAAACTTGTTGCATGTACATACTGTTCTCCAATGGTAGTGACTCGACAATCAGTTAACAAATTATTTAAAAGGCCCGTATCTTTCGAATATTCGCGCATGTATTGTTATTTTCCAGAGCCAACCCTCAATAATGATACAAACATTACATGCCAGATTCACAGCTGCTTTGCTTGCACTATACACTAAGTTTGTTACTAAGTTCGCTTTCCGAGTACAAAATGATGTCATTATTTATTGAGGCAGTCGCTACAGTGATTAATTTCCATTGAAGCGCATAGTTTAAATTAAAAATTGTGATGACAAGCCGTTAATTAATGTTTTTGATCATAGGTTACAAACATTATCTTTTACAGAACTTGAGTATAAATCTGTTGTAATAACAACAAAATATCCCGTATGTCTTGGTAGTCTGAGTGCGATAATTTATTACAAGTATTTTATCGACTATTTAACTCATTTGGTATTCGAAGTTAGACTGATAAATTCAGCATAATCTATTCATAACTTGGCTTTTATTTTGTTTGTCAGTTGTATGATTCTCTAGGCGCATTCGTCTTCTTTTACTCATTGTTCTTTGAGCAGTGTTACAAGTCTCACAAAGTGGGTTATTGGAATTAAATTAAGCACATTGAGCAAGCGCTAAGATAAAGTTAGCGTACGAGCTAACCCTTTTATCACTCTCTGAGTGTGAACTATACATACTGTCAGTTGACAATATTAATTTTCATAATTTCTCTGTGAAGAAACTTGATACAATTAATTTCGTTATCAAAGTTGAAAGCCGAAAGTCAACAACTTAAAAATTGTTTACAGCCGCATGTAATAGAGAAATTTTTTTGTAAATCTTGTAAATGGACCACAATAATTTGCAACTTTAATAATTCGTGGTTGCATACGCTTAACCAAAAGTATTTATTTATAAGGACGCTTCTATTCATAGTGCGCTTTTAATGGCATATATAAATATGAATGCAGATAATACACCATAGCCAACGTCATGTTCTTCAAGAACCTTATTTTCTTTATCTACAATCTATAGTTGGGCCTCAATTAATCAATGTATACTAATACAGATTGTAAAATTGAATTCTCAGATAACAACTCGTCTGTCAACCGAATCACCTTCTCTTGCGCAAGCACGTTTTATTGTATGTATGAAAAAGCTGTAAATAAAGATCAGCAGTAAACTAAAAATAGACTGTTTACAAAGACAAAATAGTCACGAAATGCCATATATAGCTTTTCAACGCATGTATGCATATAGTAATAGAATTTCCGTACTTCTTTATTTTGACATTATAATCGTCATTTCGTTATACTATTACGAAATTATGTGCGCCGCAAAATCGAATATTTGTGGGAGTACTGTCTCGGAAAGGTAAATTTCATAGTCAACATCAAATTGTGGGCAACCACAGTTTTCTTTGACCGTTAATTATATAAACATAATCTCTTGCTCGCCGGATTCTCACTGTAAAAACAGCAGAAACAGGTCAGCCGATATACATCAACGAACACATAATCTAAAACAATGACTTCCAAATCAACTATTATATTTCTCTTGTTTGCAATTTTCTGCCTATTGAATCACGTCAGCGCAAAAAAGCCTATCGGCGCAGTCAAAATTGTTCTCGGTAAATATCAAGCTTCTTGACTTGATAAGTAGTAACATATGCGGTATTAGGATACTAATTTACAATTTTTCTTGAAGAGTATGGGGAAGAATTACCTGATAAAGATCCAGGAGGCAAGTCATAGTATAATACCACATCAATTGTCGTATTAACTATATTCCCTATAAGACTAATACTCTTTTATTATTATTATTAATTATTACGTACGTATTACTTAACAGCAACCGACCTCAGTAAGAACCATTTTGTGCTCAAATAATTAACCTACAAGTATTGTATCGACTGAAATATTGCGTATCATTAATTTCGTAGGCGATCCGTATGTTAAGTTATGGGTCGATGGAAATCCTAAACAACAGTCGAAAGTTGTACGGGACAGCTTAGACCCTAGTTTTGGTCAAAATTTTTTCTTCCTTCTCTATCCAGGTTCTCAAAAGCTTCATTTTGAAGTTCGAGATCGTGATCCTGGTCACAAAAAAGATGATCTGGTACATACAGTTGTAGCGATATTCTAATCCAACAATCGATACATGACAAATACTAATTTTTATTATTATTAGCTGGGCAAGTCTGTGATTGATTTGGACGGCTTTTGTACACCCGCCCCATCATGTACTGACACTGCGTTCGCCGTGTTAGATGGTAATTCCTCAAGATACCTCTTCGTGACCATTACGAAGCTCAATTAATTATCGCCAGATAATTCGATGCCATAAAATATGTAGGATTTAGATCGAATATGATGTAATAAAGAGATGGCTATTCTTTGTCGATGTAATAAACATTTGGGATACTTTTCAATCACGGTTTGTTTATTCTCGTAATGTAAGGTAGCCCTCATTAGTTCATCGTCCCTACAAAATCTGTTAGGGCGATAGGCTATCCTATTGCCAAATTTGGCAAATATCTACCTGCTGTATATGGTAGGGGAGGCAACTGCCGATAATTCGACTGCTGGTTACAGATCATTCTTTTTGACATTTATTATTATTATTATTTCTATTGTAATTAACTGACGATAAGTCGACTTGTACGTTAATTCGATCGATAACCTCGGAACGCAAGCGGTCGAATTATAGGCTGACTGTAATTATTTTATTCTGACATAATTCCAATTTATATACAACAAATTTCATTAAACAAGTGTTATTCAACTTTTTTTTAAACGAAGTTCACCTCACATTGATCAACTCTCTTGTCGAAGTTAGAAATACAGCTATTACCTATATCTTTCTTTTTTATCACATTATTGCTGCCGCGACTATTTAGGAATACTCCCAATTACTAAATCCTATTCAAAGCCAAATATCTTCCCATTTGACAATAATCATATTGTATTTTGCAAAAAGTTGAGTCATACCAGCCAGCTTACATCGAAATAGAAAAACTCTATGTACTATATAGGAATCTTAAATTTAGAACATGTGAAATTAAAGCTCAACTCTATTTAGTTATAATATATTGAAGAGCATAATATCTTACAGTATCCATATTGACCCTTATCATGTTCTGAGTATCTTATTTACCTGATCTCTTGTTCTTAATGCATGCTCATTTGGTTCAATATTCAATGACCTGTTGAGGTCAGTCGATCCGAGATTCAAATAGACAATGCCTCGTATCCGCAATGCATGTGCATTATTTGGCTTTATTGCTAACGCCTTGTTGAGATCATTTAATGAACTGTCATATTTTTTTTGATCGAGATACACGCTTCCCCTTATAGTCAATGCACTGACTTGATCGGGATCAATCTCCAATGATTTGTTTAGATCAGCTAATGCACGGTCATACTGTCCCATCATATAATATGTCTCACCCCTATATATTAGTGCCCAGTCATTGTTCGGATCGATCTCCAACGATTTGTTGAGATCGTTTAAGGAATTTTCGTATTGCTTACGTTTACAATAAACATGCCCCCGTACGCTCAATGCAGATTCATCATTCGGTTCAATTGCTAATGCTTTGTTGACATCGCCTAATGCAAGCTCATACTGTTTGAGTTTATTATAAAGATATCCTCTTACAGACAGTGCAAATACATCATCTCTTTTAACTTGCAATGTTTTGTTGGCATCGTTTAACGCACGCTCATACTGCTCAAGCATTGTATAAGCATAAACCCTTGTACTCAATGTCCACACATCATTTGGTTCAATCTCTAATGATTTGTTGAGATCGATTAGTGAATTCTTGTATTGCTTTAAATCAACATAGACACCCCCCCTAACTTTCAATGCCCACACATCATTCGGTTTAATCTTTAAAGATTTGTTGAGATCGATTAGTGAATTGTTGTATTGTTTTAGATTACTATAAACAAGTCCCCTTCGACTCAATGCCCACGCATCCCTTGGTTCAATCCCTAACGATTTGTTGAAATCGATTATTGACTTGCCGTATTGTTTTAGATTTAGATAGACAGCTCCTCTTGCACTCAATGTCCATGCATCGTTTGGTTCAATCTCTAACGATTTGTTGAGATCGATTAGTGAATTATCGTATTGTTTTAGATTAAGATAGGCACGTCCCCTTACACTCAACGTCCACGCATCATTTGGTTCAATCTCTAAAGATTTATTGAAATCGATTAGTGATTTGTCATATTGTTCTAGATCAACACAGACAACTCCTCTTGCACTCAATGTTCATGCATCACTTGGTTCAATCTCTAGCGATTTGTTGAGATCAATCAGTGAATTGTCGTATTGTTTTAGATTATTATAGACAAATCCCCTTCGACTCAATGCCCATGCATCATTTGGTTTAATCTCCAACGATCTGTTGAGATCATTCAGTGATTCGTCATACTGTTTTAGATTTAAATAGACACTTCCCCTTCGACTCAATGCCCACGCATCGTTTGGTTCAATCTCTAACGATTTGTTGAGATCAATTAGTGAATTGTCGTATTGTTTTAGATCAAAATAGACATATCCCCTGCGACTCAATGCCCACGCATCATTTGGTTCAATCTCTAATGATTTGTTGAAATCGATTAGTGAGTTGTTGTATTGTTTTAGATTTGAGTAGACACGTCCTCTCACTTTCAATGAATATGCATTATTTGGTTTAACCTCTAACGATCTGTTGAGATCATTCAGTGACTTGTCATACTGTTTTAGATTTAAATAGACATATCCCCTTCGACCCAATGCCCACGCATCATTTGGTTTAACCTCTAACGATCTGTTGAGATCATTCAGTGACTTGTCATATCGTTTTAGATCTAGATAGACACCCCCCCCTTCGACTCAACGTCAATGCATTATTTGGTTTAATCTCTAACGATCTGGTGAGATCTTTCAGTGACTTATCGTATCGTTTTAGATCTAGATAGACACCTCCCCTTTGACTCAACATCAATGCATTATCTGGATCAACCTCCAATGACCTGTTCAGATCGTCCATTTGATAACAATGTTTCAATCTCATATAAATGTTAGCACACAATGGCCGCCTATTGGGATCTTCATCCCAACAATCTGAATATAGACTAATATATTCTTCAGGTGTTCCAGAAAATGGGAGATCACGAGAGCCATTAAGTCTATACACACAAATCTGCATAGATTCAGTACGCTCTTCGCACGGACCTTTGCCAGTGGATATTTCCCATAGTATTACACCAAGGCTAAATATATCGGATCTCTTTCCACGTTTATATGTATTAGTATTGTCCTTCAAAGATACCGGATCCTTGTATGCTGGTGCGCCTTCTCCACGTGATTTGGCCATCGCTTGCAACACACTTGATAAACCGAAATCGGTTATTTTTGCAACGCCTGATTTGATAAGGATGTTGCTCGATGACTAGAAAAACAAACGCATACGTCAGCTTAAGGCAAATGTGAGTGCGAAGATACAATCGAGATGTGCGATAAATACCAAATCCTTGTGAATAATATCGAGGTCATGTAAATGTTTTAGTCCATTGGTAACTTCTAAGCCCAGCTTGTATTTGTCTTTCCAAGTCAAGTCATTAAAGTGTTTCCGTAGGTATTCACGCAAAGTTCCACCGTCAGCTAGTTCAAATATCATATGATAATTCCCACTTTTATCTGTATGTGTTGAAAATAAATAGTATTAAGAAGCTATTCCTTGTAGTAATAAATAAACAGAAGCCCTTTTTTTAACATACTTATGTATAGACCCAAAAAACGGATAATGTTAGGGTGGTTGTTCGCATTTTTGTGGAGTTTTAGCTAATGTATGGCGTTCATTCAAACTTAGTCTATATGCAAAATAAATGCAGCAAGCATGACGGATGATAATAGGTTACCTCTTTGATAAATTGTTGATGCAAATCTTTTTCACAATTTCCATTACTGTCCGAAAACAAAGTCTTCACTGCAACAGTAGTATCAGAGAAAATTTTAGACTTCTTGCCCAAGACGGTCTTGACGATGGTTCCAATGCCGGTTTTCCGCTTTATCGTTGCCTTGTATACCACTCCGAATGCACCATGGCCAATAGGTGAAGGGTCTAGTTTTATGCCATTTTCTGGACAGCAATAGATTGAACCTTCTTGAATGCTTGTCTCTAGCCATTCTTTATAAGATGTTTGAGACATTGTTGATAGTAGACGTAAGGGCAGGAAAGTAGACTCCGACAAATGTGGCACATTTCTTGCTGGATGCAGTGTAACTACTTGACAACCCTTTGTAATAAATATTGTACGATGCACCGAAGAAAAGTTACCGTCATTAAAGACTACTTCAAGTTCGTATATAAATTCCTCTCCCGAACTCTAAAATTAACGACAATCCCCTAAAAAAATTGCCATTCATTGCTGCAAGCATGCAATTATTATCATCGTAAAGTAAATTTACTTATTACAGTACTACCCTTTTTTATGTTACACATAAGTATAAGGTGCCATCGTCGTTTAACTACCCAGTTTTTGTTGCAGGTAGCATATACATCTCTGGCCAGTTAAAATCTTTGGATCTTGTGTACATCTCGATTTCCCGAAACGAAAACCTCGCGTGGCTCACTGGCTAAATCAGGAATCGCTTGGGAGGACAATAAATAGATTGATTGTTTGCCTTGACAAATTTGGTTTAACCTCGTTCCCGAATTTGATATATGTTTTTTTTTTCATAAAACACACTAATTTGCTGAAAATCACCCGCAACAAAAAAAATAATCTTTTATTTGGTCAATTATATATTAGTATTATCTATGTAGTATTGTTTTTCTCATATTGCATATCTAATCTAACAGCATAGTATTTTTGTTGTGATTTCTCCAGTCCGAGGGTTGTTAACCGCCATACTGTTTAATACCATCTACAAATTTTTGAACTCCATTAAAATTTCTCTCTACGCTTTTAACAAAGTGTAGTTCCTGACTTTATGCTGTTCGACGATAATGTCTTTGGCTTCAGTGAGAGCACTCTAGTTCACAGAAGGACTCGTTTTCATCGGCAGCTTCGATTACATATTCAAGATTGAGCGGTGGGCAACGACGGACCTACTTGTTTACCAAATTACGTTAATATTTATTAGTATTAACTTTGGGGAAAGAACATCAATGTCTTCATTTTGTAGGGCTGAGTGATGCAGAAGTGGGTATATTCTTTGTCGCTTTATAGTCTTGAAAAAGTCTGGATTTATTTCCAAGCCAGAAGTTATTTGTTAAAAACTCTTTAGGTTAATACTAGCATACAGTCACTCGTTAAATAGATAGGTATTAATATTAGTATTTTTTATGAAAAAACATACAGTCATACCTTGTTTATCCCCACTTTGGGAATCAGGATTTTTTGGGATATATCTGAGGTGGGATACAACTGAGGTATGGCATTTCAATAGATAATATTGTGTTTACCATTAGTGACGTCTGACATTTTGACCTTTCTACTGCTCCATCTAAGCGCTTAATTACATATACATTTATTTCTAAGTATAACATAATTTATATTCTAGATTATTATTCGCCTAATATTATGGTCTAATTTTACTTATCGCCTGACCTGATTTATGCCTGATTTTACTGCGTCGTCGCCTAACCAAATGAAGCAAATGATCGAATTATTCCGCACAAATATATATATAGAAATGGCATGATTTTTTGTGTAATGCGTAAGTTGTAACGGGAGTGGGATACAACTGAGGTATATTTATATGGAATTGGAATAGGGAAATTTGTCCGGCGTTGCAGCTGAGATATAACTGAGGTATGACTGTATATCATATCCAATCTTGATTTCAATTCGCTAAAGAATAGGGGTTGAGCCAAATTCTCCTATTCATAATTCTCTTCCTATCGAGTCACGTCGATGCAAAAAAAGCTCTGCACTCAGAGTTGGTATCAGAGTTTGCTTGACAAGTCATATAGCCGGTATTGGGATACTAATCTACAACATTCTGTCAAAGTCAAGGGGGAAACTTACCTGATAAAGATCCAGGAGGCAAGTATTACAATTTATTTATTAGTATCGTTAACCACATTTCCCATTATACTAACACACTAGCTCCACTACTATTATTTTACAGCAGCCGATATCATTTTCGATCAAATAAATAACAAATCGTATTGTATTAATTAAAATATAGCGATCCTAATCTATAGACAACCCGTATGTTAAATTACGGGTTGATAACGGTTAAATAGAACGAGCTAGACCCTGTGATGCGCCGCGATCAATGACGTTTTTCTCCTCTATTTCTGCGTTCCTCCGACGGTGCCGCAGCAACATTTCAATCAGGGTACCATCGCAGCTGCGGAAATCGGTAACAGTGGTACAAACAATTCAGGGTACAAACGACGGTATAAGTCGTACAGGAATTTGTAGTACGGTTGTACAGCACTGCAGCAAACTCAAAATAATCGTATACTGGAGAAGTAGTTAATAGAATATTAGGAATAGCGACTAAAAATAGCTCAATTAGACAGATCGAAAGATATATAAGCAGTAGGAGTTTCGGTGTGTTCATACAGTTCGAATCAGGTGTTTCGTAAATTGAATTAAGATTCTTATATTCCTTATAATTCATATCTCATTGTTAATAAACGAGTATCGCATTTACTCTGAACTTACATTATTGACTTTATTCTCTAAATTAGTTGATATATCTAATAAACCGTTATATCCGTATATCAACAAAGGATAATTGCCTCTTGTCCCGCAATTATCTGAGTGGCGAAATAGGATATTTAATCATTAGTTTTCAATCTAATTGATAAACCATTATGGGTCCGTATTATTTCGTCGACAATCATTTCACCGACAGTACATTTTACCGACAATTAACTACTAAAAAGGATAAATTCGAAATAATGTTGGTAAATATTTGTCGGTGAAATGATTGTCGGTGCAATGATTGCCTCCCAACCATTATACCCCAAACGAAAGATTATCGGATTAAACCCTTGATAATAACCGACGATACACTCGAGAGCGATTACTTATCTAGGATTAACGTCATTCTACGATGAAATAGTCCGTAAGTGAAAAGTCTTGACATTGACAAGGTCACTAACTGTACCCAAGATATTTAACTTAAATAGGAGGCGCCACGCTCCGCCGAGACTAGTTAAATCCCAAGTGTCGATTACTTTCTGCTCTCCCGCAGTAGTCGGCACGACAACCCCATTTGGAATAAAATTCTTCTTCAATCTCTACTCGGGATCTCAAAAGCTTTATCTCAAAGTTTTGGATAGTGCTCCTGGTCATGAAAAGACGATTTGGTATATATACTATACGTGGTAGTTCAAAAAGTGCTCGGCGTTTTACGGGCTGATACCTATGATAACGTAATACTAACCAAACAAAAGCTCAAGTTTTGGTCTTCGAACCAAACCAAATTTGGTTTGTTCTAAATAAATGGTTATTGAAATATCTTTGTTCAAAATTTGTCCATCAAAACCACCGGTTTGAATTTCACGTTAACCAATACCATATTTGCTGAAATGGCAAGACGCGACAAATGCTTGTGAAATTAATAAAATCTTGTAGACATAAAGCGCTAACATTGCGCGCAGTTTGACAGCTGGTTAAAACTTTCAATGATGAGACTGCTTGGAAGATGACCCTTGATCCATAAGACCTTCAGGCAGTTGTTGATAGTATCTCACCAAAGGAATATTATAAGTCATTTGATAGTTGGTAGAAAAGATTACAAAAATGTATAAACGTAGAAGGCGACTATTTTGAAGGAATAGTTTAACCTGTTTAAAATTGTTGTGTAACTTTTCGAAATAAAGCCAGGCAGCAAAAATTTTTTTGAACCACACACGTATTAGTATAGTGACATTCTAATCTAACTAACATAATTACAATATGCTAACTTTTATTATTTATTAGCTAGGCAAGGCCTAAGTGTATTGTAGATCAGGTTGCCGTATTAAGTGATGATACACCACAAACTTCCCTCAACTTGTGCATTGCGATTATAAAAACTAGAATTAAATTACTTATTACGTAATTATTCTTTTTGTTGCAATTAAATATTGGAACCTTTTCGCAGATACTGTGTTGTTGCCTCGTAAATAATTTTGCAGTCAGAAATTATTTTCTTGAGAAATAAAATTTCAACAACAAATTAGGGCGCATTATAATTTCAAACTTAAAATTACGGGCTTTGTGGATAATTTAACAACAATCTGACTATCCCTGATTCTTTTTTCAAAACTACTAAGTGGAATGTAAGTATAAACCGTAATCGCGATCAGGAATTACCAAGACAATTATACATCAACTCTAACATACGTTATGAAATAGGCCTCAAATGTTACCATATAATTATTATACAACTATTAATTTAGATTTTTACTGCGCAAAAGCAATGATAAATTAGAATAATTGTGGTTAGTCGAAAATTTCAAAATACAATTGGAAACTCTGATACTGAGTATGGCATTTTGCCGTAGGTTTATCATAATTTAATTTATAATTTTTTAGGTCTACTAATGTTAACTTCCCATAGTTGCAAAGCGACTATTTTACGAATGGATTGATCAGGATGAAAAGTTTCAACTCTTCCGCTGTGATAAGCCTTCAATGGTTCAGGATGAATTAACTTTGGATCAGTTTCTTCAGAACAATTTAAACATTGAAACACGCGAATAATTGGATAATTGATATGGCCTTTCATTATTGACCTATACTTTGCAAGAATTTGTTCCGGTTTAGTTCTTTTAAAAAACATTATATTGATTCATTTCATCATCGCCCAACCAATTACAAATCTTGTGTTTGCGTTTGTTGAGGCTTTCGAATAGCAAAATCTCAAAGTTTCCAGCATTGTTGAGCAAACTCCTTCCCGCACCTGGTTCATGACCATATTTTTTTTATAAACCTTTCTCGCTATTTTTTCAGCAGCAGCTCGAGGACCCTTTTCACGTTCTTCGCCTTTGGTAACAATGATAGTATTATCCCATACATTACCGATATGGTCTCGCACAAAAGCTTCTATAAATCTTGCTTGACGTTTAAGCGAGCAAGTTACTCTACAATCGAGCATACAGTTTCATCGTCGGTCTTTTCTTCACAACAACAATCAAACCCAGGTGTATCATCGTGGAAATTCCCGTTTCCGATATCATAAAACGTAACTGTATCGGTTTCGGGCTCGGTCGAATAATCGACTTTTACACCTTTTACGCCAAAAATAGTTGCAGTAAAACTTTTCCCGAGGCCCGTCTCTCCGATTGCAAGAATGCATTGTTTTTGTGGTGACTATATGATATAATATCATACTGTATCAATTAGTATTTGTTGTTAATTCTTCGAATAAAGCATCTATTAAAGAATTTCTATGATAATACTTACGCCCAACATTGTGCTGTACTCATTAGAATGGGAGTGGTTTAGTCTTTCCACTATATCACTTAATTTACAATTGCATTGTTTCGTCTTTCTGAATCATAGTCCCAACATTCAGTATACAAACTTCTATACTCCTCTGGTGTGCCTGGAACTGCATCATGTCGACCACCCTTGTAGACTTGAATGTCCCGTCAGTCTCCAACTCCAATTCACTGCAGGGATATTTTCTGCTAGATATTTCCCATAGAATGATCCCAAAGCTAAAAATATCGGATTTTTCATCTTGTTTATAATCATCGTCATCAAAGCATTTAGGATCAATGTATGCAACAACTCCTTGATGATTCGCGCGAGAATTTCGTTCTAATATTTTTTTCAGATGTCCCAAAAATCTGCGATCTTAGCCGTCTTTCCATAATTAATACATTACTCGAAGACTTGTGATAACATAAGTAATATCAGTATACAATTCACGTTGAATAAAAAAGCGTATTAATGAGTAATACACTTACTAAGTCCTTATGCAAGATTCCAACCTTATGAATATACCTCAATCTGTTAATAATATCCAACCCGAGTTGACAGTTGACAGGCCAATCCAGTTTAGCTGAGGTTGATAAGTATTTCCGTAACGAACCATTGTCGGGCATATTCAAAGACCATCAAGTATTTTCCCTCGTCATCTATTGAAAAATCGAAAAAGTAATACATTTATGCCCATTTTCTAATACATCGAATGTTTTCACAGTTACTTTTGCTAACGCAAAGGAATCGAGTTATGTTGAGATGGCCGTCTACTCTATCATTGATATTCAACTAGAAATATGTGTTACGAAATGAACAAAACATAAGAACCACAGTTTCGTAGACTCTAGCAGTTCCATCATGCATGATTACAAACCTCTTTTACAAAGCTCTTAAAGAACTCGTCTTCGTCCCAATGATCGATCATTTGTATGCAAAACGGTGATGCCTGAATGTATTCAATTTTGCTTTGGAAACTATACCAAATGCACCATGGCCTATTCTATGCAGTCTCTATCAGTCAAGCCATCATAAGGAAAGAATCGAATGTATTTATTTTTAATACTATTTTTGTCATAGCCAATTAATGTCATCGTTGTTACTGTTGACGTTCTCTATCATTGATTGTGTTACATACAAGTACATATAGTATTTCACCGACAGTACATTTCACCGACAATTAACTACCTAAAAAGGATAACTTCGAAATAATTTATCGGTGAAATTATTGTCGGCGAAATGACTGTCGATGAAATGATTGCCTCCCCATAGGAACACATTTATTATCTACAGTACATCAAACTTTGCAGTTCGAATGATCGTTATCTTTCATGTTTTGGCTTCTCAAAACATCAAGGGAAATGGTCGGCATTACCATTAAAGATGACTATTTGGAATCATGCATAACAAACATACAATTCCATCATTTTAAATAATACACAATAAAGTCCGGTTTAACAAAATGCTCCGTTCCATTGCTTGCTTCGTTAATGCGGACTCTATTTCTATAATGTATGAATGTAACGGTTCCAAAAGAAAAAAAAAGCCATCTTCGTTAACCGGACTTTACTGTGGACTTATTTGACAAATCAGACCAATTGTATTGAGTATCTTTACAGAACCTTAAATAAAATTATTGCCAAAAGGAAACAAAAAACGATAGTATTAAATGTTTCGATATCGTTTTAGTGCGTGGATGTTTATTCATACATAAAACAATTCTTCAACGTACACGAAAATGCGGTGCAGCATTGTCGTGACGTAACATCACATTACAAATTGTTGCTCTCTCTCTCTCTTACTTCTTTGAGCTTTGAAAAATCTTAGGCAAGATTTGTTTAGCATAAAGTATTCCAGTTTTTTTTTCTACCGTTTCTGTTATACATTATTAGAACTTTCCGTGAATATTTTCAATACTCTTATGCTCCTCACAATCGGGAGACATTTTTATGGCTCCCTCTCCCACTTCGAAACACTTAATATAGTGATAAACTGTACGTAATGTTAGTACAAGCATTCACCAGTTTCTCATAAATTTCCCCTGCTTCTACTCTATTTTCCCATTCAACGACAAAATTGTTCACGTGAAAAATCAGCCATTTGTTTTTAATAACAACTAGATATGATATTTTTGGGGGGCTGCGCCCCTTCGTCCTTATTTTACATTGATTGGAAAGTTGTTTTTATTGGC